AAACGACTCGACGGCACATAACAACAACAACAATCCATTATCTTTTAAATAAATTACAAGAACAAAAGCAAATGCAGTATATATTTACTCCTATTTTTACTGGCTTTTTTGCCCCTTATTTCCTCATACTATTCCAAGTTTCATGAGAAAGTGCCTCCAGAGTGCTCCTTGGAGGCAAAGATGAAAAAGTTTCATCTCACATATTTTGGACATGTTGCTAGGAGAGGCTATCCCTTGGAGGAACATCATACTTAGAAAGGTGGAAGAATGGCGAAGGAAAGGATGACCCTCCACCAGGTGGATTGGCACAGTGGCAGCTGCAGTGAGCTCAGGTGTCTCAGAGCTTGTGAGGATGGTGCAGGCTAGGACAGGACTCAGATCTGTTGTTCATGTGAATCGCACTCAGCCATGTGGAAGAACAACATTGCAAGTTTCCATGTGGTATCTGCCTGAAGGAAGTCATTTAGAATTCTGGAGTATCAAACAGTTGTTGGTTCAGAGTCTGTGGTTTTTATTTATCTGAAAATGTCTTCATTTGACTATTACTTTTAAGAACATTTTCATCAGACATAGACCCTAGCGTCATCTCCTTCAACACTGCTTATGAGACCTTAGCACTCACTCCTACCCTTGTTGTATTACGCATACTATGTCCTTACTGTCCTTGGCCACTTTTAAGATTTTTTTCTTTAATCTTTGGTTTTAACCAAGATTTTGATGGGACTAGATGTAACTTTTATTTTTATTCTTCTTGGCGTTTACGTAGTTTACCATATTTTTTTAATTTTATTATGTGAATTTTAATGAATGTTTACAGAGATTTTGGATTTCTATTCATTCAGTGTTGCACTTTTCTCCCTGCCCACCCCTTCCTCTCAGTTCACTCTTCTCTTTGAAAAGTAAAAGAAAAATTCTTTCTTTGGTATACAATTCCTCCTCCCCTTACTTTCATTTACATCTGCTAGTATTGTGGTAATTACAGTAACTTACAGTAATCTATTTGATGGACATGTTGGGAGATTCCCCCCCACTGCTGTTTATTAATGAAGCTGAGATCAATACTCTTTTACATATATTTGGCTCTACTTACCAGTGGAATTACTGGGTTAAGAGTTACATGCATTTTGATTTTAATTTTAGTAGAGACTGCCAAATGACTCTCTAAAAAAAGAAAATAACCTAACACTTCATCAAGATGATTCTGATTCATTAGTGACCCCATAAAAACCCCACATAGTTTCCAAGCTGTAAATCTTTCTGGAAGCAGTTTGCTGCATCATTCTCCCATGGAGCACTTACCCCTTGTACTATCAGGAATTCTATTAAGTGTGACTTGTAAATGATTTATATTAAGTCCTTCCATCCCCACAGTAACCCTGTGAGGTTAGGTACTGTTTTCATTGTGCAGAAAAGGGAAATGGTAAGTAACTTAACCAGTATTCACAGGCTAGAAATATCAGGGCCTGGTTTTGAATCCAGAGTCCCTGTTGGGCAGTTATCATTTATAATCTCACAAGGCATGGGAATTCCTTAATTTCGTGGCAGTTCTTAAACCTGTACAATACCTGAGCCACAGTCCAAAGTTTGGTGAATCCATATATCTGAGTTGGGTCATTTAGTTAAAAAAATGCCCTGGAAATGGGCTTTGATAGCCAGAGTTGAGAACCATAAGTTTATAGATTATAAAAACGGATGTTCATGTCTTTCTGAAGAACGCTACTGGGAAATGGGAAGGTGGCAGGCACGGAAATGTGAATGTCTTGAAACTGCTCATGAAAACTGGCCACAAGATTGTTAGACCTTCTAACTATATGAATGGTATGTGAGTAGAAAGGCATGAGAATTAAAAGACATTGTGATTCAGGCATCTCAAGGAACAACTCCTGATGCCTAAGCATTAGGATTTATAGATCGTTGACCATTTTAGTTGAGATTTTATTCATTACCTTCTGAGTATTAGGATTTATAGATCATTGACCATTTTAGTTGAGATTTTATTCATTACCTTCTGAGTATTAGGATTTATAGATCGTTGACCATTTTAGTTGAGATTTTATTCATTACCTTCTGAGTAAGGGACCCCAGAGGACCCGAGTGCTTCTTTTACACCCGGCTTTATGATAGAGGAGAGGGAAGACTCAGCTTGTTAGAGGTACTTGAGCAAATAAAGTTCTGTTTGCCTGGATTCACTGAGAAAACAGTGCTGTTAACGGAAAGGTTGGTGTTCGATCCCACCCAGAGCCATAACAGACTACAGGGCTGGCAGTGTGTTCCTGTCAGTTCAGAACTGTAAACTGGAACAATTCCCATGGAGTTTCTGTGAGTGAGAATTCACTTGATGACAGTGGATTTGGGTTCAGTTTTATTTGGAAAGAGTGAGGTCTCAAGTCACCTCAGCTTTAGTTAGAGAAAAGTTGCGGCTCTTAAAGAGAGAATACTTAGTAATTTAATGGCAGAAGCAACTAACAACAGGTCAGCAGCATTTTTTTTTTTATTTTTTTACTGTGTCCTAATCTGGTTTTGAGTATGGGTGTTTTTAAGATCTAGTTGTGCATTATTATTATTCTCAGACTCAACCTGGTCTCTCTGGCTTTTGCGCCTCCTATTGATGCAACTTCTACTTTCCATTGTCTTCTGTTCACCAGTATGATCAGTACAAGACCCCTATGGAGAACATCGGCCTACAGGACTCACTGCTTTCTCGATTTGACTTGCTCTTCATCATGCTGGACCAGATGGACCCTGAGCAGGATCGGGAGGTCTCAGACCATGTCCTGAGGATGCACCGCTACAGAGCACCTGGGGAGCAGGATGGCGACGGTGAGGCCGTGAGAAGAGCAAGACGAACCAGTGGAAATTATCTCAGCCCACTTCCAGTGTAGGGGGGTGGGGGATGTGTGTCTCACTGTCTCAGCGTCTCAGCAGATGTGGAAGATGCCTTAGCCTGCACATCCATTCCCTTCTCGCTCAGCACAGGTTGCCCTAAAATGACATTTTTGTCTGGTGGTGTTCTTCTAGAAACTGGAGCTTCAGAGGCCCAGGGTGTTTCGTCTTCCTTTTTGTGGGATCCATGTGTTTTCCTTCTGCTTCTTTACTTTGTGAATCTTCTCTTTTCCCCTGGAGTTTACCTTTTCTTACTCCTCTCTCTCTCTCTCTCTCTCTCTCTCTCTCTCTCACTGAATTTTCCAGCTATGCCTTTGGGAAGTGTTGTGGACATTCTGGCCACAGATGATCCCAACTTCAGCCAAGAGGAGCAGCAAGACACCCAGATATATGACAAACATGACAGCCTTCTACATGGGACCAAGAAGAAAAGGTACGCTTGCCTCAGACCTCTCCCCTAGGGAGGCCAAGGCTTATGTCAGCATAGAGCCCCGTCTAGAGCATGTCTGAGCTCAGAGCATCATGCTGCCCTCTGTAAACATGTGGACCTAATTTCTTCTCTTCTGCGTCTGTAGATGCACCTTTTATCCGGGCCCTTTACCTCATTATGGTTTGCGTATGATTAAGCTCAGGTTCAGATCATTCCCAGAATAGAAAGCTGTCATGATGTGCCTTATCAGTGGTGAATTTGTGATGTCACCTTCACTGAAGGATTGCATGTGACATGTAGCCATTTTGTGCTTAGTTTATGATGATGAGCCCATAGACAGCAAGCACTAGAGGGTTTGCACATGGGCTTGGGTAAAGAAGAATTGATGTCTTCGAGTTTTGGTGCTGGAGAAGAATACTGATCGTACCATGGACTACCAAGAAAATGCTTAGGTCTCTCTTGGAGAGGGTGAAACCAAGTTTCTCTTTTGGAGGCTAGGATTTTGAAGCTCCCTCTCACCTATTTTGAGCATGTGGCCAGGAGGGGGACCACAATGCTTATAGAATGACATCATGCTAGGAAGGGTGGAGGGACAGCGCAGGAGAGAAAGACCCCGTATTAGATGGATTGATACAGTAACTGGGGCAATGGGGGTTGGTGTGTCATAGTCAGTGAGACTGGCTCAGGACAGGGCAGGGTTCAGAACTGCTGTATATAGGGGTCACTGAGTCACAGACGACTCAACGGCACACAACAAAGGCGACTTGTGGCCAGATATTCAAAGTGTGACATGTGGACTCCTATGCCTCTATTCTTGGTCAAGGTACAGTTTTTAAAACTTGGTTTAAGAACACAGAGTTTGCAGAGAAAACTGACGAATCCATTTCTCTGAGTTGTAGTGTTTCCCCATCTATAGACTGGGTCGCATAATCCCTAACATTCCTAGTTCATAAAGTTGTAAGATATAGCTAAGAACATGTGAGAGGGTCTTAGGGAGCTCTGGTGGCCTAGTGGCAAGAAGCTTTGCTGTATTCTCAAAGGTGCGTGGTTCAAATCCACCATATGCTTTGCTGGAGAAGTAGCTCCTCCTGTGCTAGTCAGATCCCACTCCATGGTACACAGCAAGAGGAAGAAAAAAAAGAACATGTGAGGGTCTTATAGATAGATAAAAGTGGGAGTTGTATTGAAGGGCTCTAAGCCCAGCCCCAGTCTTCCATTTGACTGAAATAGAAGAGGCTCCGCTGTGACCCGGGCAGGTGGTGAGGAGTGGTAGGACAGTGGGCTCACTCTGTGTGTGATCCAGGGAGAAGATGGTGAGTGCCGCCTTCATGAAGAAGTACATCCATGTGGCCAAAATCATCAGACCCGTCCTGACACAGGAGTCGGCTGCCTACATCGCAGAAGAGTACTCACGCCTGCGCAGCCAGGGGGACATGAGCTCTGACACCGCCAGGGTGAGTGCCCTGTATGGGGAAGGGGCTCCTGGGGTCCTTGGGGTAGAGCACCGAGCCCCTGTCATTTGACATTGAAGGTGTTTTCACCTTAGCGCTTCATCCAGTCACGTTTTCTTTGTGTTCTGATAGATTTTGATGACAGAATTTGAATTGTCATCGTTTGCTTTTACAGAAGCGAATTAAGTAATTAAGAGAGTGTAATTCATTGACTTGAATGAGAGTAACCTCTAGAAACTGCAGTTCATAAAGCAAACATGACAAGGAACTTGTCTTTATTTTTACGTGGGGCTTACAACACTGAGAGATGTTCTCAAAGAGCTCGAGTTTGAGAGAGGAAGATTGCGAGAAGCATGAATATTTGTTTATCAACATATACCCCAGTGTTGTGGGATTTTTTTTCTATAATTATATTTTATTAATTTTCATAAACATTTACAGAGATTTTGGGCTTCCACTCATTCATTGTTGCACTATTCTCTCTACCCTCCTCCCAGTTTGTTCTTGTCCAAATGCCACAGTGCTTGTCAAAGCCAGTTCTGATTAATCTTCTTTGTCAGTGTATCCTTTGCCATTCCCTATCACTCCTCCCTGAGAGAGACTTCACCCTGAGTCATAAGGAAAAGGGCACGGAGTATTCTCTTAGCTACTTCCTGCTGAAGTGGGTTTCAGGGTGAAGATCTTCTCTCACTACTCTAAAGGGCCCCTTTGGCAGTAGGAAACACATAGACTATTATGGAGATTGATTTTGGAATTCAGATGCACTCTTACTGATTGTGCTTGGCTGTACGTGTACATATCCTTCAAGATGTATCATGGGGGTGTTGCAACCTAGGAGACACAAATTTGACTAACAAGTTATAAGTACATGAGTCCAAAAATTATGGAAAAGTAAAAGAAAAGATTCTTTCATTGTTTTACAAACCCTCCCCCAGGTCCCCTCCACCATGCAGCCCTCGCTCTAGTCTCCTGTGATGACAGAAATACCCAGTTACATCTCTCTTTTAGACGGTTCTCTCCCTCCTCTGTTTCAGTGCAGTATACATTATTGAACCCATCTTTCTCAGTCTCTCCCCAACCCCAAGGACAGTCCCATTCTACAACAGTGGCATCATGTAATATTTGTCCTTTTGTGACTGGGATATTTCACTCAGCATAATGTTCTCCAGAGTCAACCATTTTGAATAATATTGCATGAGTTCCTTGTTTTTTAATGCAGCATAGTATTCCATTGTGCGAATATACCACAGCTTCTCTAGCCATTCGTTTGTTGATGGGCACTTAGGTTGTTTCCAACTCCTTGCTATTGTGAACAAAGCTGCAATGAACATGGGTGTGCATATATCTGCTTGGATGTCAGCTGTGGTCTCTTCAGGGTATATTCCCAGTAGTGGAATTGCTGGGTCAAATGGTATCTCTATTTGCAACTTTTTGAGAAAGCGCCATACTGCTTTCCACAGGGGTTGCACCATTTTACACTCCCACCAACAGTGAATCAGGGTTCCAGTTTCTCCACAACCTCGCCAGCATTTGTTGCTTGCTGTTCTGTTAAATTTTGCTATTTTGACTGGGGTGAAATGATATCTCATAGTTGTTTTAATTTGCATCTCTCTTAGGGCTAGGGATTTTGAGCATTTCTTCATGTGTTTGTTAGCCATCTGAATGTCGTCTTTGGTGAAGTGCCTGTTCATATCCTGTGCCCATTTTTCTTTTGGATTATTTACCTTTATCTTGTTGTGGTGCTCAAGTATTTCATAAATTCTGGATATAAGTCCCTTATCTGATATGTTATTACCGAATACTTTTTCCCAGTCAGTGGCTTCCCTTTTTACCCTACTGGAGAAGTTTTTGGATGTGCATAGGGATTTGAGTCTTAGAAGGTCCCATTCATCTATGTTATCTTCTCCTGGTTGTAGCTTTTTGTGGGATTTTTTGTGTGTGTGTGTGTGTGTGCAAAAAAGGAATGAGTGTGGAGCCTGGTCTAGACTCTTGGTTTAGACATGATCCGAGGTCATCTCTTCCAGCCTCATACTCAAGAGTTTTGTCTTCTAGAATCTGCTGGGACCACTGATCCCTTAAATCAACAGCGTACTCATTATATTGCTGCATTCTGCTTAGTGAATTTAAACTGGATTCCCATGAGTAAGCATGGGTCTTAATTTTGTTTTCTGGGAATTACAAATGAAGTCATATTAAATACTTTTTCTTCTTTGTTTCCTCCAGTTATTTCTCCCCTAATGTGAGCTTGTTTCTGGATGTTAAAGACCCTCTCACTGTACCTAGACTTGAACATACTACAACTATAGTTAGGATCTTAGAGTGGGACTTTGTAAAATCCTTATTTGGGATTCTGTAGTTCTGCTAAGACAGGCTAGGATTTAATTAGCTGTTAGTTGGTTAAGTAACTGAAGCTCCTGATGGCATTTAACCTCTAAACTTGTAGCTTTTTATACTTAGAATTATGCCATCTGCCAAAAGGGTTGTTTTACTTCTTGACTCTGTAACCTGTCTCTTTATTATATATATTGCTTTGTAACATACTATATTGGGATTGCGTTGGCTAGGTCTTTGGTGTAATATGGAATAGCAGTGGTGGAAGTGGCCATATTTGTTTTATTTCTCATGAGAGGACCATTCCCAGTTTTTCTTCATTGAATATGTTAAATTGAGTCTGTCACAAATTCACTTTAGCATGTTGACTGATTTCTCTATTAATTTCAGCTTGTTAGAGTCTTTATGAAAAATTACTGAATTTTGTCGAATGCCTTTGCTGTGTAGACTGAAATAATCATGTGGTTCTTTTTCTATTAATGCAGTATGAATGGGTTTTCTTCTTGATGGCTGTTGTTGCTATGTGCCATTAAGTCGCCTGTGACTCCTAGCGACCCTACATACAGCAGCTCTGAATCCTGTCCTGTCCTGACACACCTCCCCCTCTTTGCCCCAGTTACTGTTATCAATCCATCTCATCCGGGGTCTTCCTCTCCTGTGCAACTTTCTAAATAATGAAGTGATCTGATATTTTTCTTTAATGTAATATATTTTAAACATAGTTGTGGGTATGAATGGTTATTTAGGAAAATTGAAAGTCAGAGTGACCAGGATACCCAGAGGAGAAGGAAGGTAGGGCAGGATAGATGTCCCAGACTTCTGGAGACAGTGCCTAGCCGGTCCCAGCTCTGGAGCTGGCTTTTGGACCTTGGACAGATCCTTCTACCTGGCAGGCCACAATTTTCTAATCCATAAAATGAGATGTGTGGGTAGTGTCAGGGATGCTTAACTTAAATAGCATGTGTACCTGATTCTGCATGCAGAGATAGTGATTAATCCAGTCAGGAGTTTCACAGCAGAGCATCTTGAAAGAGCCTTATTTTAAAGAGATAGAAGCACCTCAAGTTGATTGTTCAAGTCATTAAGAAGATTAAATGACAAGATGATACGTAAAAGCGGAGTACCTGGTAGGACTTGGTTGGCTACAGTAGGTGATGATTTTTCTCCAGTTTATCTTTCCTGCTATAAGAAGCCTGATTAGTAGTCATCGTTTTCCTTGTTTAGCCAGTCTCTCTCTGTATGGCCTCTAAGGAACACAAGAGTTCTGAGTTCTTTGCTTGGAATTCCTGGTGCTTTTCTGGAAGTGCTTGTATTCCTCTTTCTGTGCAGTAGGGATGGCCTGGGGGCCTGCCTAGAGAATACTGTGTAAATAGTTCCCTTTTGTGTTCTTCCCCAGACATCTCCGGTTACAGCCCGGACTCTGGAAACTCTGATTCGATTGGCCACAGCCCATGCCAAGGCCCGCATGAGCAAGACCGTGGACCTGCAGGATGCAGAAGCAGCCGTGGAGCTGGTCCAGTACGCTTACTTCAAGAAGGTGGGAGTCCGGAGGCCTGTGGGGAAGAGGCTCTTCTGGAGAAGTCGTTACTATTACAGGGTCTACAGCCCTCTCGGTGACCTCTGAATTTAGATTGTCAGCAGAAAGTAACCTTAGTCTGCCAGGGTTCATGCTCTCCTCTCCTTCCTGTGAAACATGCATACTGGTGGTCCTTGGGCCTAACTGCTTGATAGAATCAGCAAAAAAGAGTAAAAATGCTGATGCCAGGGGCACTGCAGATTCTGGTTTCGTTGATTCTGTAACTTCAATTGGTTGTGTCTATGTCTACTCAGTCTTGCTTTGTGTCCTTAAAAAACCCAAACAAACACAAAAACAAGTTTGCCTTAATGTTCTTCATTCTCTGTGGCAGGCTCTTTGGGTGTCATGATGATATGTTAGAAGTTCATATTTCAGGGGAGCTCTGGTGGCCTAGTGGTAAGGAGCTGCAACTACAGTCCTAGAGGCGCACGGTTCAAATCCACCAGATGCTCTGCCGGGGAAGGAGGGACAATCTCCTCCTGTACCAGTCAGATCTGATTTGATGGTACACTCGCACAAAAATAATAAAATTTAAAAAAAAAAGTTCATATTTCAAGTTGAACCTGTTAACTTATCTTTTACCTTTTTTCTCTCTTTTTGTAATGTTGCTTTTCTGTCAATTATATATTAACTCTTCAATCTTTTTTTTTTTAAATTATTTGTGTGTATACTGTCAAATCAGATCTGACTGGTACAGTAGAAGATTGTTCCTCCTTCTTCAGCAGAGCATCTGGTGGATTTGAACTGCACACCTCCGGGATTGCAGTGCAGCTTCTTGCCACTAGGCCACCAGAGCTCGCCTTAACTCTTCAATCTTGACTCTGTTTTTCTCATTATTGTTCCTGTCACAGTTGTATTGATTATAGATCTTTGGGGTGTACTGTATTTTTTCACAAATAACTACAGCTATAGAAACAGTAAGCCCATGAATATAATGCTCATAGGAAACTATCCCATGAAGGAGTCAAGTGGTAATTGTGAGACTGGTAGGTTTCCCAGGATGATAGCTTTAATTTGTCTTTGTTAGAGTGAGCGTAGCTTCAGTTTCTGTTAACTATCTGACTTATAAAGAAATGAAGTATTTTCCACATAGCCATTATAGACTGGGTGTTAGTTTTCATTTCTTTATTTAGTACATTTAGTGGTACCTACTGGATGAAGGAGGGATCTCTGGTGTCCTAGTGGCAAGAAGCTGTGCTGCAATCCCAAAGGCACGCATTCAAATCCACCAGCTGCACCATGGGAGAAGGAAGAGCGATCTCCTGTGTAATTAACTGCCTCTGAAAACCCTCCAGAGGGTCAGCTATGGGTCCGTTCTGACTCTGTAGTACACAAAAACTATGAAGGAAACTATGTGAAAGTTGAGACATGGGCTTTAGGGTTGGGAAAGCAGACAGGTCTGGGGTGTGACTTTAGTTCCAGGCTTGAAGGGTAACTAAGGGCCATTGTCGCAGGGATCTCACCACTCTCTGTCAGACCAGCAGGCTTGGCCATATTTTTAAGTAGAGAGTTTGTGTGTGTGTATGTTCCATGGAATTGGATCTGACTGGCACAAGAAAAGATTGATTGCCCCTCCGTCACCAGCGGAGCATCTCATGGATTTGAACTGGGCACCTTTGGGATTGCAGTGCAGCTTCTTGCCACTAGGCCACCAGAGCCCCCTTGGGCCTGGCTATTTTTATGATCTAGAATTTTGTTCCACATTTTTTCCCACTTTGTCCAAGATCCTCTTTTAGAACAGTTATCAGTAGTCTGGGTACCATTTAAATCTCGTCTCAGGGTTGAAGTGTGCGCAATCATGAGTCCTTTGGACTAATGTTTCTGTGCATCTTTGATTTTCTTCACTCTTCGCTATATACAGGGAGGACCAGTATTTGCACCTTAGATGGTGATTCGTCAACTATGACGAACTTAAAAAACTCAAAAGTTTTTTAAGTTTCTTATTCCACATCTTCCCCCATCTCCCTCCAGTCCTGGTACAGGGGTACAAGAAAGGCTGGTGGGTAATTAGACCACCTCCTGCTGATGGTGCAGAAAGAACTCTACATCGAGGTCGCCAGCTTCAGCGATCCCTCTGGCCCACACAAACTTTCCTTGCCATTAGGTTCTGGAGAAGGAGAAGAAACGGAAGAAGCGAGATGAGGATGAGTCAGAGACCGAAGATGAAGAGGAGCAAAGTCAGGAGGAAGCTGAACAGAGGAGAAGGTGGGACAGAGAAGATAAAAGGATCAGAGTAGAGAGTGATAAAGACCTGGGGTGGGGTCAGGCCCTGCTTGTGGACAACAGCTTCTCCAGTGCCTGTACCTACATAAGATTTGTGGGTGAAAATTCCTGGGAAAGGGAGCTCTTTTATTGTGTTATTAGTAACCCCTGGAGCCCCTTTTCTGCTGCTAAAGGAATTCAGGTGCAGTAACCAATGACGGGTTTTTGGACTCCATTCCCTCTCCTCTCTTTCACTTTCTACTCCTGTGGCTTCAGGAGAGGAGGCGGCAGCTTACTTTGTGTTCCAGTGTGTTTGGCCTTTTTCAGAAAAGGTAGCCATTTGGACAGGCCTGGGACTAGTATTTAACTTTAATTACCGATTGCTCGATTTTGTTTTTTCTGTGGTCAGAGACACAGGGTGGGAGTGGAGGGGTCCCCAAATCCCTTTTCCTAATTGCTTTGGGTACTATAGGAAGAAGCCTCGGCGCTCAGAGGCCAAAGATGGGGACTCCTATGACCCTTATGACTTCAGTGACAGAGAGGAGGAAATGCCTCAAGGTGAGTGAGCATGTTCCTCCTGATCCCTGGCCTGTCCCTTCACTCCTGTTGTTCCATCTCCTGTATTTTTTATGGCCTCCTGTTAATGCACAGTTTAAAGAAATTGTTTGTATCCTCAGATGAACTGTTTGGTTTTTATTGCCATTCCAGATTATACGTGCTTAAGGTCTCTTGCCTGCCTTAATTCCTTTTTCATTTGGTGTAGGGATTTCTCTTTAATCCTAATTGTTAATTATTCTGCTGGACCCTTAAGACCTTTAGGAAATATGATTATTTAGCACACTTGATGGAGGAGGGGGGAGAAGAGCTTCTTTAAGGTGTAAAGAAGGTTTCACCTTGGTGTCTTCCCAATCTCTCCAACTTTGCATTCTCTAAAGTGCACACTCCAAAGACAACGGAACCGCAGGAGACCAGAGACTCCCAGAAGGTAGAGTTGAGTGAATCCAGGTGAGTAAGGAAGTTCTTGTTCTTTTGTGACTTCTACATTCCACTCCCAGGCGCAAGCAAGTGTGTTATGAGCAGAGTATCAGGGGAGCTCAAAACTGAAGGCTCTAGATTTTCCTAAACATTTTATGTTCTGGTTAAAATTTCAAGCATACAGGAGAGTTTTGTAAATAGTAAAAGGAACTCCTATGTAACAAAGGTGACACACAATCCCCACTTGTTTACATTTTACCCTTGGTTTTAATACATATTCTGTAGAGATTTAAATTATTATGTCCTATGGGGAAAAGATCTTAGAACAAAGGCAAAATTGGTGTCCTCCTGTAACCTTGGGTTCTCAGTAGAACACAGAATCCTTGTTTGAGTATGTGTATATATTTTTCTTTATTTTCCCCTCTTAGGTTATGCCCATTTGTTTGAAGATCAAGAATGGTTACTATTAGGATTTTTGTCTATAAATTTCATGTTTACCATGTGTTAAACTCCATAACTAATGTTTACTTTTTTGGCCTTAAATACATACACGCACAGAATATGCATACTGTAAAAAAATTTTTTTAAACATTGAAAACTATTTAAGAGAACACTAAAATCAGTTGGACTTCACTCCCTAGAGATGACTATTATATCTTAAGACACTTTCAAAATCAGCTTATATTTTTAATTTTTTTTTTAAAATTTTATTTTATTTTATTATTTTTGTGTGAGTGTGCCGTCAAATCAGATCTGACTGGTACAGGAGGAGATTGTCCCTCCTTCCCCAGCAGAGCATCTGGTGGATTTGAACCATGTTAATTTTTTTTTTCATGATAGTGGTTTCATCGTGCAAATGGTGTCCAGTCAATTTACTTATGCTAGACATTTAGGTTGACCCGCAATTGGCATTTGTCGTGAAACATTTTATTTTTCATTTTATAAACATGCCATATTACTGTAGGATGGATTCCTAGAAATGAAATTTTTGGGTCAAAGAATATGTGTTTAAAATGTAAATAGATATTGAATTGCCTAGAGCTACCGTAATAGTTTACATACATTTCTACCAATAATAAGTTTGGTAATCTCCACTTTCGAAAGGCCTCTAATTTTGAAATCAATATGCAATGAAGAGTGAAATTCATGAGTGCAGCAGCCATCAGTATAGTGTGGGAAAGTGTGGGTGTGCATACTCTCATGTGGGAGAGAAGGAGGATATTAAATCTTTGGGTTTTTGCAGCATAGATCTTTTCTGAGAACAGTTTTCCCATTATTGCCTCCTTTGCTCCTCCTCCCATCTTAGACATCTCCTTGTCTTGGACAGGTTGAAGGCATTCAAGGTGGCTCTTTTGGAGGTGTTCCAAGAAGCCCATGCCCAGTCTGTGGGCATGAATCGCCTTACAGAATCCATCAATCGGGACACAGAGGAGCCCTTCTCTTCAGAAGAGATCCAGGCTGCCCTGAGCAAGATGCAGGACGACAACCAGGTCATGGTGTCAGAGGGAATCATTTTCCTCATCTGAGGAGGGCTTTCTTGAAGGACTTTGGAATTCCACCAACGAAATGCGCCCCCTGCTTCCTCCCTCCCTCCCTGGCCTTTGCTTTCGTTACCTGGGTAACAGTAGTTGATTGAACTGAGGATGATGGACGCTGGTGACAGAGCTGATGAGAACTTGATGGAAGATGGAGAAATAGGTACCATTCCTGACACAGGGTAACAAAAGCAAAGAAAGTACAGAACTAAGGTTGTCACCCAATGCTTCATATAAGTCACTGGATCTTCATTCCCTTCTTCCCATCCAAACCATTGTTTTTCATAAATAACATGTGATGACTGAGTGAGTTTTTTTTGGTGAGGGGAGCAGGTGGGAAAAGGAGCAGAGCGGGATTCTCATCATCCTTTCTATATTTTGTGGTGTTTTATTCCCCCCCTCCAGAGCACTTTGTTTTAGAACATGGTTTGGTTTGTTCTATGAAGGTTGAGGGACAAGTTAAACTGGTCAAGAATATTCTTTGCAATAGCACCAGTCAAAACCAGTTAAGACTTGCATGCATTTTTTACATAAATATCTGTAAAAGTGAATAAACCTAACCATTTACATAGTCTTCACATTGCCTTAATACAGTGTGCTTTTCGTGCACAGGTTGTGCTATTTTCCTTGTTAAATTTGCTGCTTCCGCACCTGCACGCAGACACCACAAGGTGGCAGCACGCTCCTGTGCCTTCTCTCTGGTTTGGTCTTATCTTGAGGTAGTTTTCTTTCCTCATAACAACAGCATTTATAAGTTTAAGTTGTGCAAACGAAACACTGTAAATAAGAAGGAGTTAAGTGGTCACAGAAGATCAGTGAATGGAAGTTCTGAAGAAGGATTAACTTGTTTCCTGCTTTTCCAAGTTTGACTCAAATCTTCTTCATGAAGGAATGATACCTGGCTGGTTCTTATGTGCAAGAAGTGGTAACATTCTGGTCAGAGCCCTCAGAATCTTACGACTTCTTGCCTGTGAGGAGACTCCATTACATGATCTTTCTGAACCACGTATAAACCTGAGGTTCAGCCCTTGGGACAAATGTTTGTGAAAGGGCCTGGTTAAGACTGTGCTGCTTGTATTTTATGGTTTGAGTGACTTCCAGAGAACTTGAACATTTATTTAAAGGAAAAAACACAAATGGACATATCTGAGTCTCATGGATTGGAAGCTGCTCTGTGTTGGTTAATGCAGCTCGATAGAGAACAGATTGTGCCTATTTCACCTTAACAATGAGCCACATCTCCTTTATATTGTCAAGTAGCTAATCTCTTTCCCTGAAGCCACGGGGCACATTGTCTTTGGTTTCTACTGGCAGTAGGACTTTAATACGTATGTATATATTTTTATGAAGGGAGTTCAGTTTCATGGTTGTGATAATTTCATAAGCCCTGTTTCATCTAGAAAGTGCAGGCTTAAAGGAGAAGCAGTGTTGGGAGAAGGCATTCTAATCAGCTGAGCACTTGAACGCACCAGGCATTGTGCTGTGCTCAGCAATGAATGCAAAAATACCTCTGCTTTTGGGGCTTGCAGACTGGGAATAGTCTTGCTGTGTCAGTAAAAATTAAAAAATATAAGGTGTAATTAAATGCCAAGAAAAGAGCGACAAGAGTTGAGGGAGAAACCTTGAGAAAGTCAGGGAAGGTGAAAGGTAATGATGGGAGTACTGTTGTCAAAAGCTAGCAGTTTAATATGGTTCCCCTTTATGAATCTGCTCGGAAAAGCTACTTCTTCAATGGAATTCTTGTTTTTCACTTTGTGAAAGAGTTACAAGGGTTGAGTGAATGTCTAGGTGCACCTTACATTTTGATAATGACTAATAGCAAACTTACTTTACTAGCCATTCCAGCTATTTTCAAAGTAGCCAAGAGTAGAACGTGTACTCATTTCTCGTGAACATAGTGTGACTCTTTTTTTTTTTTTTTTAAATTTTATTATTTTTGTGTGAGTGTACCGTCAAATCAGATCTGACTGGTACAGGAGGAGATTGTCTCTCCTTCCCTGGCAGAGCATCTTGTGGATTCGAGCCATGCCCCTCTGGGATTGTAGTTGTAGCTCCTTGCCACTAGGCCACCAGAGCTCCCCTTAATGTGACTCTTTGAAACACAGTAAATCTTTACATTGTGGTAGAAAGGTGTTGGTGCTACCAACACAAAGGCACATGGTTCAAGTCCACCAGCTGCTCTGCTGGAGAAAGATGGGCAGTCCTCTTCTTAGTGATTTACTGCCTCTGCAAATCCTCTAGACAATCAGCTCTGAGTTCATTCCAAGGTGACAGCACATAACAACAACAACAATTCTTACATTGACAACAAAAGAAGTTGCCTGGCATTTTATGGATTACCTTTAAGAGGTCTTGAGTACAGGATTTTGAAGGTCCGTCTCACATACTTTGGGCACGTGTTCAGGAGAGACTAGTCCTCCAATCCTGATGAGACTGGTCCTCCAATCCTGATGCTACATTCTTCATTGAATGATGTGTTCAACATACAGATTGAATTAGTACAAGGAAAGGATTCAACCCTGACTCTCACCTTTCCCAATTTTAAATCGTGCACTGTTCCCTTGTTCTGTTTGACAACTTGACCTATGTATAGGTTTCACGTGAGAACAATTAATTAAATCATCTGGGATTCTTCTTAAAATTAGCCGTAACTCTACACAGTCAAATGCTTTTGCACAAGTACCTATTTTTGTGATATTCTCCACTTTCAACCAAGATCCACCATCATCAACATTGATATCCTTTGTGCCCTGGCCTCTTCTGAATTCAGCTTCAGTTTCTGGCCGTTTTCTGTTGATGTACTTTTTCAGCCATTTTTGAATGATCTTGAGCAAGATTTTATTAGCATGTGATATTAATAATAGTGTTTAATAATTTCTGCAGTCTGTTCAGTCACCTTTTTTGGGCATGGGAATAAATATGGATATTTTCAGTCAGTTGACCACTTCAGTAGCTGTCTTCCAAATTTCTTGACATAGACTAAAAAGCATATCCAGTGCTGCATCTCTGTTGAAACATGACAGTTGGTATTCCATCAGTTTCTGGGTCCTTGTGTTTCCCAATGCCTTCAGTGCTGCTTGGATTTCCTCTTTCAATATTACTGGTTCTTGATCTTGTTAAATGTTTAAATGGTTTTGTGTTCACTAAATTTGTTTTTGTGTGTGTGTGCAGTGACTCTTCTTTCCATCTTCTGATGCTTCTTGACTCATTTAAGATTTTGCCTGTAGAATCCTTCAAGTGTTACGACTTGAAGCTTTTATTTGTTATTCAGTTCTTTCGCTTGAGAAATGCTGAGCTTGTTCTTCCAATTTGATGTTCTAACTCAAGCTTCTTGCATTATTTCGTTATAATACTTTGTCTTCTCAAGCTGCCATTTGAAATCTTCCATTCAGGTCTCTTACTTCAGCATTCTTTCCCCTTGTTTTGGCATCTTTTCATTTATGTGCAAGTATCGTCTATTCTGACATCCCTTTTGGGCTTTTCTTAACCCTCCCCCCCTCCCCGGCTTTGTAATGACCTTTTGCTTTCTTCTTGGATGGCATCTTTGATGTCATTCCATAACTCATCTGGTCTTTGGTCATTTTTATTTAAGAAGATAGATTAAACCCTCTCATTTCTTTCCTTGTTTTTTTCTTAATGGGATTTTTTTCCTTTTTTTTTTTCATTCAATGAACATCTACAGAGATTTTGGAATTCCATTCATTCATTGTTGCACCCTTCTCCCCGCACAAACCCCTCTCCCCTCCCACCCCCTTTTGCTCCTCTCCCCTAAAAGCAAAACTCCCTCATTGGTATACAATCCCCCCACCCCGAGTATACTCCACTCTGCAACCTTTATTCTGGAGTCTTATGATAATATATTGCAGTTTAAAAGCAATATATTATAGGGCATTATGGTTATCATAACAGTCTTACTGAGATTTTAATGAAAGTGTATAAAGAACTTGGGTTTCCAGTCGTTCATTGTTGCACATTTTCCTCCCTGCCCCTCCTACCCCCCAGATCGCTGCTTTTTTCTTTAGGAAAAAAGTTCTTTGATTATTATACAGTCACATAACCCCCCCCCCCCACTTTACTATGCAGCTCTTATTCTGGACTCTTGTCATGCCAATAATATCTAATCATATATTCTTTTTATACCGTTCTCTCCCTCGTCTGTTTCAATGCCGTTTAGATTACTCTCTCCCAGCCCCCATGTCAGTCCTGTTTTATAACAGTGGCTAAACCCTCACCTTTCTCGTGAGTTATTTTACATCAGAATTCATATGCCCTGATGATTCGGGGTTGGTTTTGAAAGGAGACCTACCAAAAGTGGTCAGTAGAATAGGGCGAGTGTGAAATGGAGTCTAAAGTCACCTGTGTGTCGGCTGCCTCAGAGTCCTCATAACAGCTTGAGCTGGCCTCCCTCATGGATCGGTATCGCTTTGTAGGGAAGTGGAGAAGGTAGTGTATTTTACATAGATTGTACAGGAACTCTAACCAGAGCAGAAGGAAATAGCCTTGCACTGCAAAGCTAGAATGCTGCATCTGAGATCCTTTTCATACACTGAGTTACGTGCCAAAGTAGGTGAGCCACTTTCTTGGAGGAAAGCCCTTAGTTTCTTTGGAAAAGGAAGTGGTTGAACCAGGTGATCTGTTTCTCAACATCTGCTGTTGGTTCTTTACCCACAAGACACGTCAGCCCTGTCACTAGGTGGTGGTGGTTATACGGGATCCCAGAACACTGAATTGTGCTCATCCAAAACCTATGCTTATACAAAGAAGCAGTCATCAGAACTGAGAAAGGAAACTGCATGGTTCAGAATTAGCAAAGGTGTGTGTCAAGGATGCATTCCATCTCCATACCTTTTCAATCTATATGCAGAACAGGACATTTGGGAGGCTGGACTTTATGAGGAGGAATGTGACAGGATTGGAGGAAGACTCATCAACGACCTGCGTTATGCAGATGACACAATTTTGCTTGCTTGGCACTAGGTAGGCAATAGGTAAAACCTGGGAACCGCTTGGGGCAGACTTAAAAACGAGTCTTCTATCATATTAAGTATACCTGTTGAGAACAGTGATTTCTGACTTCCCCACTACATGGATTGTTACTATGTGTCATGGAGTTGACTGCATCTCATAGTGACCCTATGAACAATGAATC